CATTTGAGTAAATTTCAAGAACTATAGTGGAATTTTTTAACTACACTGATCAAAAGCAGGATGATTTTTCCTTTTTTAGCCATCTGTATTTTGGGTTTGAGTCCTTCCTGTTTAGACCACACTGTGCTGATTTAATGTTAGGTTCTGTCTTCCATAGAGCAGAGGAAGGGGGAGAAAGTTTCTCTGACATGACTTTGCTACTGAAGGAGCAGGTCAGGAACATTATTTGCTTTCTCTGGGCAAACTGTCTTCCTAGTTTAGTGTCACGGGTGCTCCGTAGTGTCAGTAAGAGTTTACATAGTTGCCATAGCATAAGCTGAATTCTGTTTTAACTATGACTTGCCCTTTTATTATGGACTTGACTGGAGAGACTCCCCTAGTGTAAATGAAGTGCTTTATTTATTAGCAGCCAGGCAGCGGGGGCGAGAGCTCTCAGTGCTGGCAAATGCCCGCCATGCACTGGTAATAAAGGCTTTCTCTGGGGGCAGAGTGTGCTGAGCACTGAAAGAAGGAAGCAGTAGTAAACAAGGTGTTTTACATTCAGGACAGTTCCTCTCTCATCTTGAAGTGTGTAATTGTGTTCTGGATAAATTATGGAAATAAAAAAAATCAGAAGTTGCTCATAGGGAAATAACCCTCTTTAAAAACAAGTAAATTTTCCAAGGCAGAGCCAGTAGAACCTTGGCACCCAGTCCTGATGTTGGCTGGTAAAAAGGACAAGCTTTATGGCGGGAGAACCTGGCAAAACTGAGTTCAAAAACCAGCTCAGCCCCTTGGCTGAATTGTATCAGGCAACTTATTCAAATCTCTCTGAGTCTTGGGGTTTTCATCTTTAAAGTGGGGTTATTAAAAATTCCAAGAGATTAAAAGGAGAAAGTATGTAATGCAGCTGTGAGCACAGCGCTCAGCACCGGATAACTGCTCTCCTCCCCATTGACTGTTTCCAATTCTTGCTTTTAAGATGTTCCCCATCACCTCCTTAAGGGAGGGCATGTTGTTGATTGAATAGACTCCAATTTATGCAATGCCATCTAAATGGAGTTTATTATAAAATGAGGTTTTAGGAGAGAATCCATGAGCTATCTTAATTTAAGTTTGAATTAATAGGGGATTTATATGCCAACTGCACCCCTACCCCTACTCCAACACAGCAGTAATGGTCATTGCTAATCATGAAAATAATTTTACCTTTTTTTAGATAATAATCTCTCTCTTGATTGTGATAAATGGCCTAACAACTTCCAGTTTGCTACAGGAGACTTGCTTATGAGGGAATAGGCCCCTCCATTGCCAGAGTTTTATTTTTGGAAATTGGGGCGAGTCTGGAAGATATGGGGAATGTACTCACTATAACATAACAGTTGCTGGTATAAACTGAAATCCAGATTCTCACTCCCAAACCTCACCCATATATACCAATTATCCGTCAAAGGTGTCTATACATGCCAGACATTGTTCCACCCTTAAATTACCTTGCAGCTAATAGCCTTATTTAATGGCCACAGTATATTGTGCCTATTTGATTTCTTTTGCCCAGAACATGTGCCATTTCTGCCTTGACAGTATATTCACTAATTGAGCTTGAGAAAATCAGAAATGTTTTATAAATGGGGTTTTTAAGAAAGGCACCAAAGTAGCCTGTTTTTATACTTCTACTACACATCAAATTGTATTTTATAACAACCTAATTGTCATGATATCTATTTCAAGGGGAAATTTATCAAGTCACAGTGCACCCTTCTGTTTGGAAGAAATAGTTGAGGATGTGAGCAGAAATTATTTTTACATAAAGGCTTCAGGCAGTTAAGAGCACTGACACACATACCATATTTTCATCACTGTCATTCACTTCCTTTGCCTCAAATAAATAGGTCATTATTATCCCATTGCAGCCATCTTATGGTGCCTCAAAGTATGGAGCTCTGTTTAATATAACTGCCATCTAGCTGACCCGTATAATTTATTGGTGATTTTTATAGAATGACATCCTTGGGCCACCACCATCAGGCAAAGCACTCTGATATCTTTCAGGAAAATATTTCATTATCACTTATAATTTTTTAGCATTGGCATTAGAACCATGTTAACACAGCTAGAAATTGGTATTTTCTGAGAAACTAGATTTTAGGTTGGTCTTAATAATTTCAAAAAAATAATACAGTAATGTTGACAACATCACCATGGATTTGTTGAAGGCAGCAAGGGCACAAAATTACAGATGGGAAAAGTTTACCTGAATGATTTGCTCAGTAATTACACATTATAAGGCTACGGTCTTTAATTATAAGTAATAATTAAGAATGTTTAGGCTTTATAAAAAGCACACAGAAATGCCTCTGGTTCTGTTTATTACCGTCATTGCTTAAAATGTAAAGTTATAGTCAACTCCTCTCTGCTTCCATCCCCTATATAAATGCTTTATAGTCTTAATATGAATACTGTATATCCCTTACAGAATATACCAGCCTTAGGATTTCTAATAAGAAACTAAAATTAAAGCATATGGTTGTTTCCACAGGATCTATTCTATTAGTGCCTAATTGAATTGCAAGTGGCTTTAAGTCCCATTAGCTTCAAGATAGTAGTTAGCGTCTGTGAGGCCTTGTTTTTGTTGAGGGGATTAATGCCTTTGAGGTCGTACATTTTATAAGTGGAAGATTCTTATTTGTGTTGCTAATAAACTTTCTTCAGATACAAGAAATCCTTCCCACAACTGAAGTAAGGTTCCCATTTGTATTCTAGTTTCCTGAAGGCAAGTCCCCATTTTTAAAGGCTTGCCTAGCACTTGAATCATGCAGTTTAATTTTTTCTTAATTTTTTTACTAGATTGAATTACCCTGAGAATATAAAAACGATGTCCTTTCTGTTCCCACTTTTTCCAGGGCCATCCTGTCCACCTTGAAAAGCTTGCTTGATTGGCAGGAATTCCTTTCTTGTTTTTTTCTCAAATCTGGGAATAAACTATTCCCTCTAGCTTGGTTCTGAATTCTGTGTTTATCATAGTAACCCACTCAGGGAAAAAAATTTAAAATCATCTCATCCTCTTTTTTTTCTGATAATTTTTTTTCTTTGTTGTTATTCTGTAACATGGTTCAGTCTCTAAGCTTCCACTGCTGGATCCAGCTAAGGGAAATTTACCCTCTCATTGTCTACAGGCCCTGTGGGCCTGCATCCTCACACCTGGGTTAATTCCCTGGATCATGGAGCTCAAGGTCGGGTTTCATTTTGGTTTGCTCCTCAAGCACCAAGAATTTTTGTTTATCTGTGGCTCTAATAATTTTTTCCCCCTTATCCTTCTAGTTTCCTCCCTTCTAATCCTCTGCCAGGGGCTGGTCTATTTCTAGGTGGATTTGGCTTAAAGCCATCTTAGACACCCCTTCTCACATTTTCCCACTGTGTCCTGCCAAAAAAAGAATCCTTCAGCAGAAATATGATAGCAGGTGGAAATCCTCCATTTATTCTAATTGCATCTCTATTTATTCTGTCTACATTTTTTTAGATTAGTATTTATCTTTGACCTTTGTTTCTTAATGTGACAATGTTTCAATGTTTTTTTAAGGAATAAATAAGCATTGAGTTGATACATAAAAGAGTTTGAAAGCTGGAACAGAGAGCATTTACTCTTGTATTCACACTACTCCTCACAAGTAATAATGGCTTAATAAAAGTTTGGATTTGACATACAGAATGACAATGATGATGTGATGATGATGATGATGATGATGATGATGATGATGATAATGATAGCAGCTACCGTTTATTTAGTTTTATGAGAAGCTAGACACGGTGATAAGTGCTTTATATTTATAACAGCTTTATGAGATAGCTCTTCATTACTGTTCCCATTTTGCAGATGGGAAACTGGCTTAGGAACTTGAAATAATTTTCATGAGGTCACACAGCTAAAAAGCAATCTCTCCCCCTTCCTGATTGACCATTGCTTCTACTGCCGATACTATTGTTTCTTGTTCTGTAAGTAGAATTTAGGTGTCAGTTTTTACCCACCTTGCAGCTTCTCGAAGCCTAGGACATTGTCATATACTCCCTTCTCCCCTGCTATGCCAGGTGCAGAATTGAACTCTCAACAATTGCTTCATCTTTTGCTTCTGAATTGAACTCTCCTCTTCTCCTACCTGTGCTGTGGATCATTTATGACATTTATGAGGTGCCTTGGCTGCTGTCACTAATCTTAGAAGCAACAAACTAGAGCAGATTTGGAGATAAGTCATATATCCGTGGATCTGAAACCCTTGACTTTTTGACATGTTCTGAAAGAGATTTTCTAAACGGCTGGAGAAGGGTGATCTACAGAAAGGGTCATGGGTTCAGGGCTGCCTGGGGCTTTGAGTGAGTCCTGAAGGTATGAGTTTTTGAGAGCGGACTAACAAACTCAACTTATGTAAGCCTTCCCCAGATTTTATTGAGATCCCAAGAGTCATAGTCAGTTCAGTTCTCACTCCCACACAATGACTAAATGAACTGCCTGTACATTGGGAATGTCGACATCTACTAACAAGACAAGATTATTTGTTGAACCTTCCTACCTACTTCTGTTAAGTGGCTCCTTGGGTTTTCTGTGCAGTGACCAGATAGCTTACCTAGCTCAAGGGTGTGTGAGCTAGGGTCAACCATGTGTAACTTTCCTCCTCCAGTTGTGAGAGCTTCAGCTCATGACAAAAGCCAGCACTCTGACCTTCCTCAGACCTCGTCAGCTTACACCACTCAACGGTGCAAAGTCTTGAAGTCCGACGCCTCAGCATTACAGCTTTTGAATGTGTGGTTCCAGGCTCAGTTGTATTTTATCCCTGTGTCTGCCTTACTTTAGTAGACTCATTTTGTGAACTTTAGAGAAAAGTATTAGAACCATCATACCAAATGTTGCTACTTATGTTCATGCTCTGATGTACTTCTTATTTCTTATTTCTCATATTATGTGAGCCCAAATTTTAATTAATGGAGATTTTTTTCTGACCTTTTTCTTCTCTCCCCTTTTTTTTAAGGTGATGGACAGAATTTGTTTACAAAAGACGTGACAGTGATAGAGGGAGAAGTCGCAACGATCAGCTGCCAAGTCAATAAGAGTGACGACTCTGTGATTCAACTACTGAACCCCAACAGGCAGACCATTTATTTCAGGGACTTCAGGCGTAAGTTTCCATCCCTACTGTATTAGCCAACAACTTTTTTTTTCCTCCATGTTGTCTTGATAACGAGATTGCTAAGGCCACCTTTTTTTAAATTTAATGTTAGATGCTTAAAGTTGAGTCAATTCTTTAGAGGGAAGAAGAGACAGGCAATCATAATCTTTCTACTTAATAGAAACCTTGAATGGTCCCTTTTAAAAGTAAGGCAGTCTTACTTTGCAATAGGAATTGATTGTAGTAATTCAAGGTGAATTGCAATTGAGTCCCAAATACTTAACTGACACAAACAACTCAAATGGGGTAAGGCAAGGAAAATATAGCATTCTGAAAGGTAATCTGTTTGGTTTGAAGATTGAAGTTTCTAAGGCAATCTATGCTTGCATCGACAAACCAAATCTCACCATAGCCTCTCATGTGGGGGTAGCCATATGCTGAAATCTTTCCAAATATAATATAATAAAAGCCATTTATTGAAACTAAATTATGTGTAACAGAAATAGTTCAAATGGGTGTCAGGGCTTGGCAAAAGCAAGAGTTAAGTCTTTGGGAAAATTCTACTTGAGAGTATTAGTGTCTGACCAAAGCAGAATCCAGGATATCCCTTTCTGGCTACTTGGCCCCTTTCCTCCCAATATTGCAGGACATTCATGACTTGTAAAAGGAGTTGATAAATCTAAGAAACATTTACACAGATAAGAGAGGTTAAAAGGAGAAGCCAGCTTCTTACTCTTAAACCAGATTTTTTTAAAATATAGGCTAAGCTAGCCTTTGCCCAAATTAACAGGATTTTAGAAGAGAACATTTGAACTAAATAAGAAGCCCACATACACTACTTTTGTGGTGACTTTGATTTCCTGCATGTTGTCTAATCAGTTTCAAACTGTGAAGCTGAAGATAGCTAGAAAACTACAGGATGAGTTTATGGCCTCTGTGGCCCTAGGTCGTCCACATTTGATAACACCATCTTAAATCATATCAAATAAATTAAGATGGATCCAAGTTGTGGCTTAGGAACTTGAAATAATTTTTGAAGTGATTTTTTAGATTTCACTTTGAGACTATTACTAATGAAATTTTAGTTCTCTTTCATAATTTGAAACTGCTTTTTTTTTTTTTTTTTTTTTAAGCCTCGGATTTTTAGAGACCTTTTAGAAGCTTGTTGGCCTCAGTTTCTGAATTTCTGGTACCTAAAGATTAAGAGGGGCTGGCTTCTCAGTGACAGAGGACTCAGGACATGACCTTTCCTTTTGTTTTTATTTTGCCTATCTCTTATAGGAAACTGAAAACAATTATGAGCAAGTGCTGAAAAACTGATGGTGCTTGCAATTGTGCCACTGTGTGTGTGTGTGTGTGTGTGTGTGTGCGCGTGCGCGTGTGCGTGTCTTTTCTTTGGGTAGAGTTGTCTATATGCAATTACTTCAGAAACCCAAAATAGTACCCAACAGGTAAAGAAAGGCTTAATGAATTTTTCCACTCTGTGGCTGCCTTTTTAGCCATGTGACTTTTTCCTCCCCAAATTAAGGAAAATAGACTGCCATTGCCATTGTCTTTTCATAGTCACTGACTCAGTGTTTTGTTTCACAGCCCTGAAGGACAGCAGGTTTCAGTTGCTGAATTTTTCTAGCAGTGAACTCAAGGTGTCGTTGACAAATGTCTCCATTTCTGATGAAGGGAGATACTTCTGCCAGCTCTACACTGACCCCCCACAGGAAAGTTACACCACCATCACTGTCCTGGGTAAGAAATGCACGGGTTCACTTTGGGAAGCAGAGTGGGCTGGCCCATACTAACAAATAGCTTCCAGCAGCAAAGAGAAGGTTAATGGTGGATTTCACTGTTCCAACTTGTTTTAGGAAGAATCACCGCCCATCTTGCTGAATTTTAAAAATAGCCTATTTTACCAAACGCTCTAAGGAATGGCAATCAGCAGTCTTTATAGATTCCACCTGCTCTTGGGTTTCAAACCTCAAGCTTTAGAAGCAAAGATCAAGAGAATTTAGAGCCCTCAAATGAATCACTCACCACATGAAATGTCATTGCTTCTAACTACCAGGATTTTTTTGCTTCTGTGCAGAAGGAAAGATGGGCTCTCACATCTGTACCCCATGGCAGAGCTATTATGGAATCCACGTAATGATTTTCTCTTCTGAGTTACATCCTCTTTTTAATGTTGTTGCTCTCCTTTTCTTCAACTTTACTTATTGCCTTGTTTATTGTTTATACTCTAGATTATACTATAAAAAGTCATACCTTGTGAACACATACTTTGCCACAAAGTGCAATCATTGGACATAAAAGAGTTAAGAGCTCTTTAACTGATGAACAATCAAAGCACCATTGCCAGGCTTCTAGGTACATCTCTAGTGAGCTGAGTATCTTCATTTATGATCACCAGATTGTGATTTTCAGCAAAATCCCAGTAGCCAGGTTTCTGTGTTTTTATTTTTATATAGTTAGCAGATCCTAGTATACTGAAGGTGATCTGAATTAGTCACCTTTTAGACAAACATATACTCTAGGGCATAACACCAGCTGATCTGGACTTTTGAAACTGAAATTTCAAGGACATACACTGTAGCACAAGGCAAGATCTCTGATTTACACCTTCGGGAAGATGATGAATCAAAGTCTATTTGAAGCGGCAGACTGCAGCTTTTCGGTGTAATGATATGAAGATTAAAGAGGAAAGATAAATATGAAGGACATTTTTGCTTGGTGTGTGTGCACATATATGTATTTATGGATGTACATATTGAGCTTCTGCCTCATTACTTTATTTAAACACAGCTGTAAAAGGGAAAATACTTTTTTATTCATTAAGCTAAAACATGTTCCCAAAGCTTACATATATGCCCTTGAGAAGAGGAATACTGATTTTAGGAAGTCAGGAAATCTGGCCATACAGTTTCTAATGTGGACTGTGTTTAGTGATGGCTTTTCAGGTGCACAAGCTTGTCATTATTAGTTTTGATCCATATTAGACCTGCAGAGATAGAAGGCATGGAAGTTTTGCTGGGGGGTGATTATTTTGGTCTTTGCAGATATACCAATTCACCAATGTACATTTGAAGCTGTCTGTCCACTTGTGTAGAAGTATTTGAAAATAGACTGCTTATTGCCCTGCTTCATTAGCTGCATAGACTTCAAATTGACCAGCCATCCATTGACCATTTGTGGCATTTCCACAAAAATGATAGCAATGAAAGGAAATATATTAATAGCATTTTGGATTTTCACAATATTTTACTGTTTGGAGGAAATATAGATAGCTTAATTTCACAGAAGAAAAATAACAGGTTAGTCATCCTGCCCAAGTTACAAAGTATTCAGTGACAATCAAGAATCTGAGAATTCAAAACAGATTTGATGATTCTGTCTCACAGCCTTTGTGCCTTTGGGGTTAGACTGTTTTCAGTTAAATCCTGAATGCTGCCATTTCAAAGTTTTCTTAGATGCACATCTTTGGTTTTCAGGAGTCTAGCTGGTCATTGGCAAGTAGTTACTGCCTGTCAGTCTCAGAACTACTGTATTGGACTAGGTTGACTATGAATACACCCTGGGCTTGGGAGTCAATGTACCAGCACTAGATTTTTGAGAGGCATTGTGCCTATAATCCTTTTGGAGGTCTCATTATTCTAGAAGTAATAGGTTCCTGCTTGTATTTTATAGAAGCATTAACTTAAATATACTTGAAAGTAATGTTAGTCAATGTTCTCTTTGCAGATATTATGCATTCATTTAATATTCTTTCCATTGAATTTACTCTAGGCATCCTTGACAGAGTAAAATTGTTGTCATCAGTGTTTGAGTCTTTCATATTCCAAAAATCTGACAATTTCCTCTGATACTCAAATATTCAAACCTTCCTCGTAAGGTTTAGAGTTTTCAGATATTATAATGAATGAAGAATGATGTATTAGCATCTTCGTTACTATCTATGTTTCTCCGAAAAGCATTCCATATATGCTTACACAGCTGTCAAGCTTCTTGATAGGTTGAAGTTGCACATTTTAGTGCATATGTTTATTAGTTATTTGACACATTTGGCAAAAATTTCAGCATAATTATAACGTATAGACATGGGTATTTGTTAATGTTATCCGTGCTACTTCATAGTTAACATTATGTTTCAATCTCATCTGTGCAAAAACTGAAAATTCTCCTGTGATACCTTGCATTGATCTGGCTGCCTTGTAGAATATTCATTCATTCCTTCTACTTGTGATGAGTTTGTTTTTTTTCTCCAGAACACAGTGTAGGACTCTTTATGCTACTATTCATGAGAAGAGGTGAATGGGAGAAAATAACACTGCTCCAAGATTAATGTAGTTACTGATAATAGTAGCTAATATTATTACAATCCTGTCTTTCTAAGATTAGTGTTCACTCTTAAGATTCCAGGAACAGGAGAACCTAATTATTTTAAAGGGTCTTAGAGTGAGATTTCATGTGCTGATCAGGTTTAAGACTCTTTTGTTGTAATTAATGTGACTCATCTTGATATTGCTGATTTTTTTAAATGTTGTAGGCGTAATGTTTATAATTAGTACTCTTATAGGTTAGTTAAGTAGGACCTTGACATTTCATTGCTTTTTTTCTGGTATTTTCCTCTGTGGTTTTCATTCAGGTTTTCATCTATATGTACCTCCTTAGATATATCTTTGGTTATTTTCATTAATGGCTGCAGGCAGTTTTTACTAAATGTGTCTGTTTAGTGGACCATGTATAAGTGTATTCTCTGGTTAGCAGCAGTTTTAATTCATTTTTCTTATAAATGGATTTTTATACTTTACTAACCTCTTTTGTATTGGAATAGACATTATGAAGTTAAAGGAAAAGCAGGGTAGGATTAATAGACCAAAATAAATTTTTTTCCTTGTCCAATCCTCTTTTTTCATAAAGACAGATTTAAACAACCTCATTATATTTTCCAAAGCTTTCTTGCTCTTAAAAAAAAAATTCTGAGAGAAGTCACAGTTATAATATCAAAAAATTCATCATGACTCATGTTATCAGATTTTATTTTACATTTGTAAATCAAACAACTCCCACTATACTTGCCCATTTCTTCTAATCTTAGCAAAGATTAGAAATACTGGTCACAGTCTTGAGAAAACTATTTATGGATGTGGGAAAAATCATTCAGCTATTTCTCAAAATGATGAGCTCAACAACAAGTAAGTTCTTTATTTTTCTATACTTGATTTTTGAAGTTTTCTACACTTTTACCTTGGCCATAAAGTTAAAGATGATGTCAGCTCTTTAGGAAGGCAATCCTAAAATCTAACATTGGTACAGGAATCCCTCTCAAGGGTATAGAACTTTAGAGCGCATCCGTTGTAGCAGAGGAGTAATTAACCGGGTAATACCAAACAATAAGAATCCCAGATAGGAACCTCCCTGCCAGTCAAGCTCTCAACCCCCAAACAACATCTAGAGGACACCACTGATTTTTCTCTGTCCTATCTACATCTGCCCATTTTCATTTTCTTCTTTGAAATACTGGACACAGTCTTGAGAAAACTATATGAGATATAATGTGGAAAGAACATGCCACCATTTTTATGACCAAATAGAGTAAGAAAAGACTTTCCACCAAGAGATAACAGTGGAGATGAACAGCTGATGGGGGCTAGGTGGAGCCTGGGGTAAGTGTATTAAGGTGTATGAGGCTCAACAAGAAGAGACAAGAGAAAGGCAAGATCACCAGGAGGCCAGAAAGCAGCTGTCTGACAGACTACATTTAAGGCTAAGTAAACTCTTCTGAGATTTAGCAGTCTCTGTAGCAGAGTCTTTTAACAACTCCTGGATCTGTTTCCATCCAAAATATTCCCAGATTTCTACAGAGTGATCACCAAGGCATTTCTCCCAGAATAATAAAGTAGAATCAGATCCACCCCATTCTGTGGGGATTTCCAGGATGGCCAGTAGATTTAGCCCTTTGCCTCCATCACATCCTAAGAGAGCCCTTCTTTAGCTTCATGTCCCCTCATTTACTCTACTCACTTTCAGTTCTCACTGGGAGCCATTGCTGTACCCATATCAAAAATTGTTTTTATCACTCTAGTTTTGTTTTTGCCTGGACCTTGAATGGACCATTTATTCTCTTTCATTCCTTCATTGGTTTGAGAGGACCTTGTTTCCTTCTTATCTCTTTTTAGTATCCCTTATCACGGTCTTGTTTGCCAAGGTCTTGTTTCCTTTAGCCTTGGACAGTCTTTTCCACTGATATTCCATCTAATAATGGCATCCCCCCCCCCCAAAATTCATGTCTACCGCACTCAGAATGTAGTAGTATTTGCTGGTCTGAAACATTTCTGTGTATCCCCTATCCACTGCCTAGGTTTATGGAATAAAAATGTGTAACTGACCTGATCATCACCAAGGAGATAAACTATGCTAAGGATACCACCAGCTGAAGTCATATCATTTCTTTTGTCACTGCCTTTCTGTGTCTCTTAAAATGCTGGCAGATGTGCAAGTCCAAATTGGATGTTAAATTATCCCTCTTTTTCCTTATTTTTTCTTGAAATGTAAGCTAGGGTAGTTCTTTGCCATGCTTAACTACTCATTTGGGCCATATCACATTAGCATCACGTCCAATTGAGCAAATATGTTGTTTTCCTTTACACAGGGAACAAAGAGGAATGCTTTTGCTTTAGTTGTTGTTCCCCTCCCCGACCACAGCACACTATCTTGCTGAGAAATATATGCAACAAATCACTTTACTTTTCCTTTTTCATCATTCCCTATAAGAATTTTCTATTGCTCCAATTCAGTATAAAAGTCTTCCTGTGGGCAGAATTTTCATGTTGGACTATAACAGTTGGAAATCCCAAATATGTGGTTTAATCCTATAATTTATTGAAGCAGTATCAGAGATGTATTATTCAACTTGATCATCGGGATGGCATGTTTATACATATTTAATTTTTTGTTTCTCTTCTGAGTTGAGAAACTTATTAATCATAAGTCTCAGAACTGTCTTTGCTTATTCATGGTGGTCAGGACACGTATTCTTAGATTTACACTACTGAATTCCATATTCTTACTGATTTTTATTTCAAGAGGTTCAGTCTTGAGGTAAGGTTGCACCTTATGAAGTTTCACTGTCAACTTAGTTTCATTAAAAAAAGAAGAAGAAGAAGAAGAAAAGAAAAACTGCCAGGCACAGTGGCACACGCTTGTAATACCAGTGACTCGGGAGGCTAAGGCAGGAGGATTGCAAATTTGAGGCCAGTCTCAGCAACTTAGTGAGGCCCTAAACAACTTAGTAAGACCTCACCTCAAAATGAAAAATAAAAAGAACAGATGCAAAACATACTCCTAGGGTGTGGCTCAGTGGTTAAATACCCCTAGGATCAATCCCCAGTACCAAAAAAACTCCCTTCATCATCACCACCATCATATTCTTCATACTCTTGATTCGATATTTAGTATGTCAGCCCTAAAATCTTTTATTTTGGCTGTTTTATCACACATATCTTTAATGTGCTTATAGAAGAGTAGTTTTAATTCTATTTAAATCTGCTTACATTTCTAAAATCAGGACCATTGGAATTCAGAATATGGAAAATTACTTCAAGAGAATTGGCATTCCCTCTATTATTGCATCTTCATATTCAAAGGGTTTTATTAATATGCCATCCATTGGAGAACATGATAGAATTCTGGATTTCTGTGGCTCTGTTTAATTAAATGGAACTGGTCCTGATATAATTTTTCTGTGTATGTTTATGGTGAGTGATTCTTTTGAGGGACCCCCAGTTTTTTACCTTTATTGATAGACTTTGAAATCTTTTATATGAAGATTGAAATCCAAGCATTGAGTTCAGAAGTATTACTTTCAGGGGCTTCCAGGTAAGGACAGTAATTTCAATAATGTGTACTCCTCCTTGTTTTATATCTGTTTTCTGATCAATTTTGTAATGACTGATGAATAACTAATAACTATATCATAGCATTGTTAGTGATGATTTAATAGTGGAAAACTGATCATTTTATATGATACATGTAAGAGAAAAATTAACTGATCTTGCATAACTCATTTTATCTAGTGATGGCTTTGCCCTTCTCTTCCCTCTGCCTGAGGCATTTGCTCCTCTTGTGATGGTTTGTCTTAAATTTCTATCAGGAATGTCCACTATTTTGTCCCTTTTTTGATAGCAATAGTGCTAGTTTCTGATGAATGGAAGAATATGTCTAGAAATGAATTTTGTATTTACAAAGCACATGTATTTAATCTGCAGTCCCACCACGTAACCTGATGATTGATATCCAGAAAGACACTGCGGTGGAAGGCGAGGAGATTGAAGTCAACTGCACTGCCATGGCCAGCAAACCAGCCACAACTATTAGATGGTTCAAAGGGAACAAGGAGCTCAAAGGTAACAGAGAAACCACCCTGTACTGAAGTTGTTAGTTGGTCCTTGATTCTAGCAAGTATGCTTTGTGAGAATTAGGAACAGGTGCAAAACATGCCCCTTAAATAAAAGTATTTATTTAGGTATGGTTCATAATCAATTACTAAAGACATCTGAGGCCAAAGCATAACAGCATTGTTCTAATTCATACCCTCTCGTGTGATTTGAAGGTTCATGGTGAGATTTGTTGCTCTATTCAAATGCCTAGAGAAAACTAAACCTGAAAACTAGAACTCTTCAGGCCAGAAGAGCCACTGTTGGGGGTATTCCCTCAGCTCAGACCATTTCTGTACCTCAGTTCTCATTACACAAAATCCCTGCATTTTGTGTTGGCTCAGACTGGGTCAAAACCCCACATTTTTATAAGCATTTTTTAAAATTCCAGATTCTAATATCTGTTGCACTATCGATTGTATTGACCATGTGCTTTCCTTCCAGAGAGGTTGCACTAAGTAGACAAAGAATTTTATCCTAGTTATGAATTTACAGTAACCACAACCCTTGTGAAACCTATAATTCAGATGCCCAATTCACTGGTCTGTTCTTTTGCATCTCTGCCTTTGTGGGAGCAGTGCAAGTGATTCCTTTAGTCATGCTGCAGTTGGCTTTCCCTCAGAATTGAGTCATCCCAGATTTGACTCCTAGGTCCTCAATCCCTGCCACCTCAGCTGTTGCTGAGAAAGGAGACAGCCTGTACCCTGTTGGACCATATTTTGCCACTTATCCTAAGCCTTTCACATATGTTGTGTTCAGATTCCTTTCTTTTCAAGGTTGACCTCCAAGTAGTATTCTAAAGAAAGGACTGACCTACTCTGGTCATTTGACTGAAAACTAGCTGTGGGCCTCACTTTCTTCTAAAATAATAATATAAATTTATAGGATTCTTATGAAAGTGAAATGAGTGAATGTTTGTAAAGCATTATTAAGCTAGTCCCTGGGCCAACTTAAGTGCTGTGTGCTTGTTAAATAAATAAACAGTGTGAGGAAGAAAATAATAAACCCTTTTAGAAAGGTGATACAGAAATCTATATATGGAAACAGAGAAATCTATATCTAACAGCTAAAGTTTCCAAAAGCTTGTTCTGTTTAAATCTCCCATTTCCTAGGTATGGTTTTAGAAGGAAAGAGTTTCTCATTTCCCCTCTGCTTTTCTGTCTAAGTGAACTGAGCCATTAAATGTGTACCGATAAGTACAAAACATTAAAAGAAAGTTAATGTTGTGCCATGTTCCTGGGAGTGCTGGGTTCAGGAAGGGACTGCCCCAGCCTATTCATTCTATCCGGAAGCCTCCTGCCCGCTTTTCTGGGTGTTCTTGGACGTGTCTCCCATCTGGCCCAAAGCCCTGTATCTTACTTTGCTCTAGCCCACTGCCACTGCGTTTCTATGGTCTTCCAGAAGTCTCAGAGTTTAAACATTTCAATTACAATTTCAATTATGTAAATCCATTTAGTTACTTTCCCTCTTAATTGTTGATGATGGGGGTAGGCAAAAAGGGTTGTTTATATCTCCACTGCTGATTGAATTACTTAGGGGATTTGGATGATGTCCTGGAATTTTTAAATGGCATGACAGCCTCAGAGATATTTCAAGTTCAGATAGTTGTAATTAGGGTGAAAAACGCTTTGCTTTTCCTCCTTCCAAATACCTTGGAACAGCCAGATATCAAAGTGGTTCAACCTTTTTCTGACTTTTTAGGGGGGTTGAGATAGAAGAAACATATAATGTACTTCAGTAAAAATACTGTGTACTGCTTGGGGTCGAATATATCTTAAATATGATTCTGTAAGTTTTGAAAAATAGGAAATTAAGGGAAACAATCTTTTTATCAGTTATCCATTCACAGATTTCCCTTCTCCAGGTAACTTCCATTATATTTGTTAAAATAGTATTGTTGAGTTTGGAAGGAAAGAAGAGAATTTAAAAACTGGAATGATGCAAATTCTTTCTACCATCTCTGGTTATTTATACATTTCCTTTCCTGCTAGGCAAATCGGAGGTGGAAGAGTGGTCGGACATGTACACTGTGACCAGTCAGCTGATGCTAAAGGTGAACAAGGAGGATGACGGGGTCCCAGTGATCTGTCAAGTGGAGCACCCTGCGGTCACCGGAAACTTGCAGACCCAACGGTATCTAGAAGTACAGTGTGAGTACCTGAGCATCTTACTCTGAGGGCATAGCACGGCAGTTACTTAGAACCTCTTCAGATGCCATTTGTTAGATGCATACATACATTTTATATAGTATTGATAGAATATTTTTCCTGTTATCTTGGTAGAAAAATAATCAAAGGATTGTTTTAAGAAATACTGTCATCTTACAAAGTGCCAGTGAGAGTATGAGAATTCCACATTTAATCCAAATGAAAAACTGAAATTATTTCAATCTGCTTTAACATATTCAAAATTGATTTCTTTGAATATAGACAGTCATCATTTTTGTTCCAGCTTCAAATTCTGGAGTAATCCCTCCCTTTTCAATCCCATCAGAAGCATTGGATTTTGTTTTAAAGGAGGTGTTTTATTTCCATTCCACATCAGCATTTTGTTTTAATTACACATTCTCTTCTGTTTGAGGTTAAATTATAGCAGTGAGTTGAAAGTCAAACTCTTCGGGATAAGTGCCACATCTTGATGGCTTCATCAATAAAAACTAGACTGTAGTGAGTAAGGCTGTCTCCCTATGGTGCCCTGTAGACTAAATATGTTCTCCGCATCTTCTCCTCTAGACCCTTCTGCATCAAAGGAAAAAAAAAAAATCTGGTTTCTGCCCAAATTCATTCTTGTGCCAAGGTTATGGCCAAGTAGCCAGCTTCTCACTTTTCATCAAAAGGCTTCTGTAACTTGGCCTCTGAAAACTTTCAGGTGATAATTGAATATACAGAATGAAAATGTTTTAAAAGTTTGGTTGGGATGGCGGAAGTTGGGAATCTGATGAAGGAAATGTGTTACCCTTTGTGAATCTTTATGTTGGTACCCTAGAACCACAGTAACAAATTATAGCACCATAAACTTGGTGGCTTAAAACAATAGAAATTAATTCTCTCGGTTCTGGAGACCAAAAGACCTAGGTGTCAATCAGTCAGATCATATCCCCCGTCCCCAAAGGTTTAGAGAAGGATCTTTTTTTTCCTCTTCCAGCTTCTAGGGACCCCAGGAGTTCCTTGGCTTATAGCTTCATAACTCCATTCTCGGTCTTCATATGGCTTTCTCTTCTTTGTGTGTCTCTTACAAGGACACTTGTCACTGAATGTAGGTCCCACCCAAGATAATCCAGTACAGTCTTAAGATCCTTAAGTTAACTATATCTGCAAAACCCCTTTTCCCATATTAGGTGGCATTCACAGGTTTCAAGGATTAGAACTTGTACATATCTTTGGAGGCCACGGATCAACCTGATGCATTCCTTACCATGTTTCAATTCTCTGAGCAAACTAGGGGCAGGGAAAGTTTTTAAAAGTTGCTTGTAAAAGACCCTCCCATTCCAACCTTTTCTTACTCTGTGAGTTTGGCTCAATTTAACATTATATAATGCAGGTTTTTCTTGTTAATTCATTTCATCCACTTCATTATATAGCTTCATTATGAGCATCATGCTTATAATTTTCATATCACTAAAACTATTGTGGTGTAATGTCCCTATAATGGGAAAACAGAAATGATCAGATATTATCTAAATTGGCAGATAGTAGATTTCTTGTGACTTTGTTAATATGTAATTCATTTAAGCAAACTTAATATCCATTAACTTTCTTTGTAGGGGCCCATTAGCTTTAATAATACATTAGCTCCTTTGTGAGTCCTGAGTAGATATTCGCCCAGTTTCTGCCCCTAAACTCTTTAAGTAGTTTCCCAGGGTGTCTTTTAAACAAAATGTAGCCCCATCCACCTACAAAATTATACTCCTCCAAATGCAAAAATATTTCAAGCAGTATATCTTCTCCCCCTTGGAAAAACTTGATACTAATCCTTATAAACCTTATAAACAGATTCAAGAGATTTGTCCTTCTAAGAAAAGTAATAAGGCTCTATAAGTGAATCCATTTGACTTCAATATAACAAAGTGCCCCTGGCTTCTACCTACAGGAAGGGACTTTAACATCTTCCATAGATGAGGATGTGATCATTTCAAACTCTAACATGGCATTTATTTTGTGGGCAGCTCTCTCGTCTTTTATCCAACATAAGCCACACAAACAATTTATCCTTGAAGTTCCATTTTGGAATATAAATAAGGAGAAATCTCTTATGTAAAAGATGGTTAAGAATTATAAAGTTTTGTATAATTCAAATGGGAATTTTAGGTCTGGCTTGAAATCTTCAATAAGGCTGTCAGTGCTTAAGAAAGTCACTTGATATTTCACTACCCTCTATTCCTAGAGCACTGCTGAGAACTTTCTGGAGCTGGACAGGAATTCCCTAAGCACGTCTTCAAACACAATTGCACATTGCTGCATTATTTCCTACCAAGTTTCCTCTCCTTGAACACCAGTAGCTATGCAATAACAAGAGCTGCGTGCCTCAAGTGGCTGTGGCACTCAGTTGCTGGGCTCTACAGTCTGCCAGTTGTTCACCAGTGGTGGGCAGTGGACCAACTCCAGTCCCTCATAGCAGTCTTCTCTGCAGACAGGCAGCACCATATATTGATGGTCATAAGGAAAGAGTAGATTTCTGAAGGCACGAGAGTCTTAGACTAATTTGTAAGTAGCCAATCTACATAAAAGTTGAATTGTGGATACCTTGTGAGGATTAACAGTACACCTGTATTTTTAATTGACCCAGACCCTTGAAGCTTGCAGTTCAGCCTTTTTAGGATCACTTCAAAATTCCTTTTATAGCTATACATCTGGAAAGGTAAATAAGATCACATATTTACCACATTTAGCTTACAATCTGAAGAGTCCATTTCTCCCTCAGAGTTATTAGGGCTGCTTTATAAGATACATTTTTTTTACATCATTTTATTGCTTTAACCTAACCAAGACCTATGTAATAATGTATGTAAATATATTAATTTTATTTTGTTAGGCACACTTTCTTTTTTAAATGTCCTTTTCCTTGCTACCTAAAAAGATTGCTTATACTATCAATGATAGATATTATCACCAGGAAGTACTGAGTCCCTCTAAGGACCTCAGATTCTACTTTGAGTGAATAAGACCACCTTGGGGCAATTTATCCTGATCTGAATGCTGTTAAGTGTGCTCAGTTGGTTTAACCCTGGCCTATTTTGGCCAATGAAGTTTTATGGAAATGTCTCTACTCCAGCTAAGACAAATGAGTGTTAGCCAGGTTATGATTAGGGTTCAAGGACAGATGATAGATTTGAATTCTGTATAAGTTATATCTTTTTTAAAAAAATAATGTTAAAAGGAAAAATAAACAGTGGCCACTTGTATGCCATTGAATACTTCAAGTATGACAAGGAATGAAGAGAGGAAGGATAAGAGAGGAAAGGGGTATACTTCTCCACTTAAGATGGGTGTCTCCATACTATGTAGCTGTGACCCTCAGTATAGAATTCAGATTGCTGTGCAGAACAGAGGAAAGCCGTACTCTGAATGGAGACAACCGGGCTTGAGCTACAACTTGGAATTGCTTTTGTCTTGTGGATTTAAGTCCTAATTAATTGAACCAGAATTTTGTGGTGTTTGTTTGTTAGTACCCTTATTTGTGGTACCAGGAGAAATTGTTGTGCCCAATTATGTGAAAAATCAGCCAGATGTGTATGCTGTCATACTTTTAATAATCCTTAAGTTTTTGGTGAGTACAGATATTAATTGTGTAGTATGCATTGAAGTGATTAACATCAATGTAATTTATCATCTGGAGATTTCTGAACATAAATAAATGAGTTGTTTTGTTCAGCAAGGTGTTGACCCCTTCAAAATCAGTGAATTAACCCCCCCCCCTTTTATTATAAATATGAAAGGCACCACAATCAGCCAAGTGTTCAGTTATTTGATTTTCTGGGGCATTAGCCGCTCTTGTTTGTGACATTTCCCTGTTGGGTGCTCGTTTGCAAGCTCATTAATAAGGTTTTCTCATAGGAACGTGGCTGGGAATGAAGAACATACAGTAGGGCTCTTAGTTTCCTAGCTTTCATTCTGAGACCCAGCAAGGGTACAGCAGCAGCATGCAGTTAAATGTTTAAAACAGAAAATAATTATGTTCTCAAGCTAGAATTCAAAGCTCTGTTTTCTTAGATGTTATGCAGAGAACAGTTTTGCTTTTTAATGTTCTGAGCTATATGACCTGAAAATCTTTCTGTGCTTTTTTTTTTTTTCCGTGCAAATGTCTATATAGGTTGTGTTGCCCACATTTACAACATGCTTGATTATAGCAGCACGTGATACAATTGTAGCATGGTTGGTAGAGTTTCAGATCTGAGGGAATGCACTCTTGTCAAATGAAAGCCTGTTTAAATGAGAACAGTTCACTGTCTGCACGTTAAAAGAAAACTGTCTAAATAGCATCAAGGTGGCAACACATAGCGACGTAAGCTGGGGATTCAAAGACAAGCTGTGACCCTCAGTATAGAATTCAGATTGCTGTGTAGAACGGAGGAAAGCCTTACTCTGGATGGAGGCAAATGTGAAGCTCTTGAATGACTGCTGTGTGACTTTGATTTCACCCATCATAAACTTACTCTTTATCATGTTTTGCAAACATCTTCATTTTGTGAGGGTTTCATGTGTGTGTGCATATTTATAAAAAGAGAAATAATGAAGAGATGAGTTTTGAAAGAGAGAATGAAAACAAAGCCTCTAGAAATGGGTGTGTGAATGCCTTCCCTGCCCTGATCAGCAGCTGACAGTTAATCGTGTATGTGGGCATTATTTTCAAAATGAGTTTTATTGACTAGATGTAGACAGGTATTTTATAAATCCATATTCCTGTTCATCCAAGGTCCAGAGGATGGTAGATTTTTTCCTTTCATTCCCTCATCTGGGGGAAAATTGGGCATTGAGGAGATGATCAAAACTTGTTCTTTATCTGTGACAAAATAAATGTTTCTCTGGTATTGATAGTGCCCTGCGGTGAAGGAGGAAGAAAAACCTGGAAATTGGCAACTCTTTCCTGTTGGAGTGTAGGATAAGACTTAGTTTCCAAGAGTGGCTCCTCTGTCACATTCTCTCCCCCATCA